AGATGTTGATGGAGATTGGCCCCCTCCCGATGAGAGGAGCGTTGGTGATGATTTCCCCCTCCCGGAGGGAAGTTTTCCCGGCAGAACAGCTCCGCCAGAGCCCTAGATTGGTTCCGCCAAGGTTCCGCCTTGTGGCGGCGGAGTCTCGTCCCGAAAGCTTGCTTATGATTTTTTCTCAATGAAAGACTCCATATAGCAGAAGATGGGCATCGGAGGGCCACCAGGGGGCCCAGGAGGCAGGGGGCGCGCCCAGGGGAGTAGGGCGCGCCCCACCCTCGTGGCCAGGGTGTGGGCCCCCTCTGAAACTTCTTGCGCTCAATATTTTTATATATTCTGAAAATAGCTTCCGTGAAGTTTCATGACTTTTGGAGCTGTGCAGAATACGTCTCTAATATTTGCTCCTTTTCCAGCCCAGAATCCCAGCTGCCGGCATTCTCCCTCTTTATTATGTAAACCTTGTAAAATAAGAGAGAATAGGTATACGTATTGTGACATAATGTGTAATAACAGCACGTAATGCAATAAATATCGATATAAAAGCATGATGTAAAATGGACGTATCAGTGACCCGACAGAGCTTAGCTTCTATAGCAAGCGTTCCTCTAGGTTTTTCTATTTTATTAGTTTTTAGTCGGTTTAGTTTATGGGTTTACCAAGAACATGAAATTAATTAATTAAAAATTAGCATATTTTAACAATTTGAAAATAGTTTAGAAAAACACATGATATTTTCTAAAATTCCAAACATTTTTATTTAAAGAAAAATAAAAGTTGATTTTTTATAGTTCTGAACATTGTTTGAAATTTGTGGGGAAAACATGAATATTTTAAATAGTGTGTGAACATTTTTCAAGAAAGTTGAACATCAATTATTGATCATTTTTAAAAAATGGGAACATCTTCTAAAATTTGTGAATGTTTTGAAGAACTTAAACATTTTTAAAACTTTGAAACTTTTTTATTGAAAAAGAACTAAAAATGCAGAGAAAAAACATATTGAAACCATCCTAAAAAACAGAACCGAAACCATCCTAATAAAACAGAAAAGAAACATTCCTAAAACAAAAAAATGGACCCAAGGAACAATCTAGCTGAAACTGCCCACGGAAGCCACAAAGAAATTGCCTTATGGCCATTTGAGCGATTCATCTAGGGTGTCCCCGCCTCCTGCCGCCGTCCCCGCCTCCCGCCTTGAGGCCATGGAGGTGCGGTGGATCCCGGGCCATGCCGGTGAGAGGGCTCCTACTTTACTTTTAGGTGTTCTTTTGAGCCAGTTTAGAGTTTGAGACCTGCTCAGAAAGATGAGATGTCGGCGACTCTTTAATGTTAGAATAAGGTTTTCCCCGTCTAGCCCCCATTCTAATGGTGCATCTAGTACAATTGGAGGACGTGTGGAGGTTTGTCTCCCATGGATCTCCCGGGATTCGGCCAGCATTCGTTTTCGATTGATCTACTTGGATCCGGTCATCGTTCGTCTATATTTGTGGATCTCCAGGTTGGATTCTTCTGATCTATGCTTCTCTTCATCAGCGGTGGTTGCCGTTCTGGTCTACTGGTTTTATGGTCGTAGCACGATGACTTCCCGACTATGTACTACAATAAGGTTTTCCCGGCTCCAGTGAGGGAGGGGCAATGACGGCGGCACGCTTTTGGCTTGCTTCAGTGCTTGTAGTCATCGCTAGGGGGTCTATAGACCTGGATGCAATTTTTTTACTTCTAATGTTCTTTGTACTGCCTTGACAAATGATAAAAAGATCGGAAGTTTTCCCTGCAAAAAAATCCAGACCCGAAACCTTCCCAAAACGACAACTCTGTTGTAGCTAATTGGACCGATTCATCCCACCATGGCCCGTTACGCTTGCAATTTATATCTACACCTATTAATAAAGGAAGGTGTGTTTCTCTGAATTTTGGTTCGTTTACCGTATAGAATTATTTTCTCTCATACCTATTTGAGGTAGTATTGAATTTTTATCCACCCGCGCATAATTTTTTTTGGGTTCGGCCTCCAAACCGTGCAATCAAGGGGTCTGCTTCGTATTTCTTCTTTGGTTGGGCTGCAGGGAGTCAGTCCCCTATGTGGGCCAAGGGGCCTGCTACACTCTAGGCAAGTCGACTATAAGTACATAACTCATGTGGCATTGGGTCTCTGTTGGGCCTGACAAAAAGACACGTCGAGTCTTTCTGTTATCATTAAATAGTACCACCTCAACCCTTAGTACCAAAACCATCAATTTATATATATCTTTGATTTACCTATTATCGATTTACCCATTAAGTCTGCTTGAGAACCAATAAGTGGAGGATGAGGATGATGGCGTGAGAAGAAGAGAATGAGTCCCGCTAAAGGAAGAAAGGGATATGTGGGCTAATTGGTGGTGCACAATAACAGCTTGATTCATAATTAAAGAAGGTTACACACTATGCATAGTAAGATTCAGTAAGTGATGGATAATTACACGAAGGTGGAGAGAAGACTGCATTAATGAATACGAGTAAGAGGCAAATAGGAATTGCCGTATAGGTGGGCAGACTTGCTTGCACGCGAGAACATGGCTCTGCTCCCATAGCCCTGAAAAATAGAAAAAAAACATCCACACAAAAAAGGTCTTCCAAACATGATAGCATCATTTATTTGAGAAAACAAAAGCGATTGCTAGTTCGTATGACAAGATCAATAGTGTTTATTGCAATAGGGTGGAGCTACGATAAAACGGACGACGTCCGATTTTCATCCGACATAGCATAGGTCCATCCGATTTTCATCTATCATTGGCAACCATTACATGGCTGTCGCGAGCTTGATCTAGCATGTTGCTAGTTCTTAATATCCACTAAAAACATTAGATTGCGTATCAAACGTATTATAAAAAAATAATAAAAATCTTGATAGAGTTGAAAAAAAGAGGCGAGCAAGTCAGAGGTAACGCGTCCATGTTCTTACAAAAGGTTACAAGTATATTTTTAATACTCCTGTGCCTCTAAACACCCTTATATACCCTTTTGTACCCGTGCCACTTGTGACTCAGACAATTAGGGTTCCTTGTCTCCCGACAGCGCCGCCTCTGGCCTGCCTGGTCTCCCGAGGTGCATTGGGCGCCGACCCTGGTCGGCAGAAGGGCGCTCCCGCTCCTTTTTAAGTTTTGTGTTTGTTTAGGATTTGTGTCCTAGAAGACTCCCTGCCTAGCATCCGTTTCGACGGTGCATCTTTCGTCATTGGACGACATGTGGAGGTTGTCTTCGGTGGATCTCACGGGATTCGATTGGCGTCTTGGATCGGATCTTCGTTAGTCTGCATTCGTGTGTTTCCATCTAGTACTTTTTTCATGCGAGCATTGCGTTTATACCGTTCTTAAAAAATCAATATCTTTTCTATAACAAAACATTAAGGGTGCGTTTGGGAGCCAAAGTATTTTTGTAGTTTTTAAGGAATACTGTGATTTCTGAAAAAAACCTTGGTATTCAATACTTTGAGTCGTTTGAATGAAGAAAATACTACAGTTTAACAAACTGTGATATCTCTAAAACTGTGGTATTTTTGTAGTATATAAAAAAGAGGTCCGGACCTCTTTTCCAAAAACTGAGAAATGTTGGCTGAGTTGTCTCTCTGTCCATCTTCTGGCCATCGACGCATGTGACACATAAAATCGATAGCTAGCTGATCGATCTATCCGGCTAAAGTGGCGCACATACACGTACAAATTATGACTTAGTGCCGGCTGGAAACACATGTCGACTTGCAGTGCATGTCGTAACTAGCTCTGTCTTTGATTGATTACAAGAGATAACTTTATACAGATCCTTCCTAGCATCTATTAGGAGAGAACATGCCTGTGCAAAGCTGCATGCATACGGTGGCGACTAGCATAAGCTGATCCATGAGTGTAACTATGTATGCATGCAACAACGTAACAATCTGTGTAAACCAAAAAAAAAAACTGAGAAAAACTACCACTTGACAAACACCTCGGCGGTATTATCGAAACTGAGAAAAATCTATGTTTTTCAGAAACTGAAGTATTTGTTGCCCATCTATTGAAATACTGAGGTTTAGAATACTATGGTTTTGAAAAAACGGTGTTGCCAAACTAGGACTAAGTTGACAATGAGAACATATGATTGCCACTCTGGTGGTCTTGATTCATACATGCTGCTCCCTCGTGGGAGCAATCTTTTACAGATAAAGTTGGGTACGCGTACAAGGATATCCCCATCATCAGTAATAATAAATTATAAACAGG